TCTATTCGCTCCGACGAAGGGCTAACGCTCGAAACGTCAGCTTTTGTAATCGTTACGGTGGCCAATTTACCATTTCAACTTTGTTGATATATCCAAATTATAAAAATATTTCAGGTGGTAATAAGCAGTGCTATGGTTGGCTAATAGATAAACAATGAAATGCTGGAGAGCTCCATTTTCTGGTGCCTCCTGAAGGAGGACCTGCAAATCTTTGAGCCATCCACGAGTTTTAAAGGGTCGAATGGAATGAAACACAGTAGAGTTCAAACGTAGCAAGCGATTCTATGACTAGCCAACTAATGAAAGAGTTGCCGTATAAAAAGGAACTCAAAACTACATAAATACCGCTTTAAGAAATGAAGGAAAGGAACGTTTGGATCGGCTTCCCAGGTAGTATCAATATTCATATCGGTACGGACCACTAATTAGAATACTGGAATGGACCGCCGGAATGGACCCCGGAATGGACCGCACTCAACCTGGATTCGCTAAATTCCGATTAGATTTATAACTGGAAAAATGATAAACAATTTCTTTTTTTTTTTTCCTGAAGAATTTCAAAGTTTGTCTTACTTTCATGAATAAGAAAAACGGGTTAGAGCCCTTTAATGAAGAATGCGTTTGCGTTTTACTTACATGAAGGGCAACAAGCTTGTACGGAGTCTCGCATCTTTGTAGGAACATGAAGTTGACTTGTTTTTCCCCCTGGGAATGGGCCTGTGAAGTAAACAGGAAGAATGAGGTCTAATTGAAAAAAGATAAATTCATTTGTCGTGAGAGTAAGACAAGAGGAAAAAATCTGAATGCAAATAAAAAATGCAGGTTGGGAGCGAGGCACATTTTATTCTAAATTTCCAACGAGGATCAAAACTCGGTCTTTTAAGTTTTTGGTGCTCGATGCTCTACCACTAAGCTATAGAAAACTCTTTGGTAAGCGAGACTATGTTCTTCGAGTGTCTCGATCCTCGATTCTCGAGCCTCGATTCGCGATAGTTTCGAGTATCGAGGTTCGAGTATCGAGGTTCGAGTATCGAGTCGAGACTGTCGACTTACTTTTGAGCGATACTGTGCTAAGATCAGACGCGACAAGCGTCCTGCTTACTGTTAGGATCAGCGATGCGCAAGTCTGATGACAAATAGCCCA